TATGGATGAGAGTGGGGCCGCTAGCAATGTGGCTAGAGCCATTGTTGCTGCCCTAGACTGGAGCTCCACTCCCGATACGCGAAACGCCGCTGTCTCATACTTAGAATCCGTAACCTTCTCTCTCTACATATATATGTGTCTATATTTATCTTAATGTCACTTCAGATCGACTTTCTAAGTAATTGTCTCTCTCCCTATGAATATCCATATATGGGCAATATCGGTTAGCAATTAATTTTAGGGAACAAGTTGTAGGCTTCGGAGAAATGGCGAATGTCCTTAGTGGTGCATTGCTTGAATTAACAACATTGAAATTTTTTGGGACATCGCTTGGAATTTGGATGTGCTTTCTTTTTATATATGTCATGTGTTGGTATGAATGTGTACCCATGTGTTAGTCTCCCGTCTTCTGTAGTCTGGGTATCTGGCATTCTCCTCATCGATTTGATTTTCCTGGTACCCATATGTAAAACATTGCATATTTTTCAGGGCCCTGTTTGGTGTTTGATCTCTCATAAGTGTAATCAGGGGAGGAAACCTCTTTTCTTCAACTTCTGTGGGAAGAGCTATAGGTGCCAAGAAACAAGCCCTAGTTTTGCCGTGGAATTTTGTTGCTTTTAGAACCAAATGCTAAATTTGTTGTTTGAAGTTAGGTTGCTTTGTGGTTTCAGCTATCTATCTACTTTTCGCGTCTTCCTAATAATGTGTATTTGTGAATGTGTAAATACACGGGTTTTAGTCCCTCTGCAATCTGCTCCTTGATGTCCAGTATTTGCCTAACTGTCCAATTTGGACAACTTCATAAGACTTTGACCCCTCCCCCCCCCAACCCAAAAAAAAAAAAAAATGATGTGTCTTTATAACCTGATTTTCCCTGATACTCCAATTTGAAATATTTGCATATTTTTTTATCTCACAAAAATGTTGTCACAGCATGATATTCTTTTTCTGTTTGTGTGAAGACCTTTTGGTGAAATGGGTGCCACACTTAGCATTTCCACGTCATTTTGTGCTTTCAGAAGGAAATGCTGCATTTGTTGTTTGCAGCTAAGCTTTCTTGTGGTTTTATCTTTCAACCGCAAGTATCAGTGCCATTGCTATAGTCAATTCTGTGCATAACTAATTAATATGCTGTAATCCACATTAAGTTTGTTGGAAGTATAATCGACAGTAGTTTGCTAACTGAGATAATTTTGCCAGATCCAAGAAGGTCATACCAATATTTTCCAATAGCTGTGTTTTGAAAATCTAAATTATCAAATTTTATAGACAATTTCATGCAGACAATGTAATGTTGACCTTTCCCTCTGATCACTAACAGTGACAGAATTACAGGCGATCAAATGAGTGGTTTTTGTGACTGTTTCTTTCTAGTTTTCATTATCTAGTGCTAAGATTATGCATATAATTCCTAAATCTATCTGGATGCTCTGCTAAGTTCCACTCTAGACAAATGTTGATGGCTTTAAATTTTTAGCAATATTTATTAACAGTTTCAATGATACATAGCACACCTGAAATTTGATGTGATGCAAAATGCCAAGGACTTTCGATTTTCTTGCGAACTGCTGCACCTACTAAGTAGGTGGCTGTCCAATTGGAATGTTAGTTGAATTACATTTTGTAAATGAAAGCTGTTTCTATGTATTTTATTATTTATGAGAATACATGATTTTCTTGTACAAGTTCGATAATGAAGTGCTAAGGGCTTAGGTATGACACTAATTTCGAATACATGTGAGGAATGGGATTTAAATGGCATCAAGTCTAAACAACTATTATATTGTAGTAATGAAAAGAAATTACTGTACAGGTATTTAAAACAAGTTATACAACCAATTGACGCCACGTAGTCCCATTTTACGAAATTCTTTTTGTGACACTGGATAAGAATTTGTGTTGCGTTCTTTTGGAGAGTTAGTTGTCTGAATAGTTCAGCTTGTGTCATATCTGGAAACGTGGCTTTCTGAAAAGGGAGATCAGTTTGCATCAGGTTCACTTCTTTTACATAATATAAGTAAGAAATTTAATTAATGTGTGTTACAGCTGGAATAATGTACTTTATTGTAAGTTTTTTTACCAAATTTGGTTGGATATCAGGTCAAGTGGTTGTACATTGGAAGCTTTGGAAGCACAAAAGCTGAATGAATGTGGCTTAATTGCAGACATTGGTGGCGCTTTATAGTGGCTGGGATATTGTTTATACACATCGTGTTGTGGTTCCTGATTGCTGTCATATCTGTAAAAAGTTTTGTGGTAATAATAACCTACTTTTGGAAATAATTTGAAGGTATAGGGAGATCGTTTTGGTAAGAATAAGAACCATGAAGCACCGACACGTCTCCCAAGGGAGTGCATGCATCTTTGCATGTATGGTTTGGTTTATCACATTTTTCCTTGGTTTCCTGGAAAACAAAATTAAATTTTTCTTCGATCAAGTATTGGAGTTTTGGAAACTTTGGTAAAGGAACTGTATCTCTTAGTTTTACAGATTTGTATCTGATCTTCTAGGCAGTATGTGGGGAAGCCTTGGTGAACTTGGAAACTAAAGCAATTAAATTTGCAATGTGGCATATGATATTATAGATTTATTACTCTGACTATAGTTGTCAATTTGTGAATCACATCGAGATTTGTTCAATTTTTGAATTGTGAATCGTGAAACGTAATGTGTGGTATGATTCAGAAACACATCAACAAAATATATAAATATACATGATTCCACATTTAAAATTTGAATAAAATATTTGAATTCTTAAATAAATATTTAAATATTACACAAGGATGGAGCTAAATATTTTATCATGATTGCCAACCGAGATAAATTTTATAAATTAAAACTAATAAAGGAAAATGACACGTAATTAATTTTAAATTTTTAATATAAAAGAAGAGTCTAACATTAAAAGTGATGCAAATTTATGTAGTTATTTAATGTAAAACGATTATAAAAACTATTAGCCCTTGATTTAATCTACACAAGTTATATATTAAACACAAATATTTATCAGATGGTGAATCGTGTTGAGAATCGTATCAAAATCGTGCATGAATTGCACGATTTAGATGTTTTTGCAATTCAATAGCTGATAGGAATTGCTGGCTTCATGAATTGTATCCAATCGCACGAATCAAATAGTGAATTGTATGATTCTAATAATGCTGATTCTGACCATTTGTTTTGCTGTTGCAATTATTGGAGCCTTCCATCCCCATTGGCACAAATTTATAACACAAAGATATCATTTGGAGATTGTTCTCTCTCTCTTAACCTGTCAAATTTTTAATAAAGCAAAGTAGTTATGCTTTATTTAGTGTATCATATATGCTTGGCTATATGATTGGAGCAATTTAAATTGGAATTCTTAATGTTCCATTGTCACATCTTGTCAGGATTGGTACATATTTCATGATATTCTTTTTAGATTCACATATCTTTCTGACTTATGTGGTTTGAAAAACATTTGGAAATGTTAAAGCACAGCCAGGTTGCTTCTTCATGCCTTCGTATGTGGGCTCCACATTTTCCTATTGCATGAATTAAATTTATTGGACATACAATCTGAGGGTGTGTGTAATGGCCTAAGATGAGCCCAAACCATTGATTGAAAATGCTTAGCCCAAGTTGTTTTGTAGTGGTCCCCAGCGGTCATATATTCCCCAATATCAACACACACACATTCTAATGTGGAATAATCACAATACAGAGAAGCCAATTTGGTTGTGGATTTACAATTCCCTTAATTTTTTTCCTTTTTTTTATATATGTTCTATGAAAAGACGATTGATAATTTTTAACATGTGTTATGTATTCATGTTTTTTTCACCAGTATTATCTTTTGATGTGTTGCAGATTAAAACAGGAGATATAAGAGTTTTGGCAAACACTTCATTTACTTTAGTCAAGAAGGATTGGTCTTCTGAAATTCGTTTGCACGCTTTCAAAATGCTCCAGGTTTTTGTCCATACTATCTTCTTCATCTTTATAGGAGGGTGTTTTATTTAGTTTGTTGACTCTAGCGGCTATGTGCAACAAAGGGGTATTACCTGCTATATATTGAGATTCTTTATGTGATGGTTTGTCTTGATCTCTTAAAAATTGAAACTATCTTACTTTTTTCCATCTCATTACTAAATGGTGAATTGGGTCCATACTTCCACTTGATTGATATGGACATGATTAGGAATAGCATCTAATGTCTAGCATAGCCCATCTATTTCTTCCTTACTGCATTTTGCCATATGAGATATAATTATAGTTCTGTGGCCATTGAATTAATGATTGGCTTTCTGTGTTATTTCTTCCCCATACTGACTTTTCTTACTGTGTGGTTGAAGAAAAAAAAAGTTAATTAACTCTAGCAATTTATAGCCTGCAGTAAATAACTACTTAATGGGGAAATTTGATTGATGGATGGATGGGATAAATTATGGAGGTCGGACTGTTGAATTCAAGAGGTCCTCTCTGATCTCATACTGCACACTTCACCATATGTATTTAGGAGTAAGGTTGTACATACGGTTTTAATTGAAAATGGTTTAAATATTTCAATGCTACTTCAGTTGTCATGAATTGTTTAAATTGTGGTTTCTTTTTTTTCTTCTTTGTCTTTCTTGTTTTTTAAATTCTAATCTTAATTCTTTAAACATACTTCTGTGGCTTTGTCAATGTAACTGGACGTGCCAAACCATTGCACATAGTTCTGAAGCTTTGCATCAGTATAAATCCCCCAAAGTTATGAATATGAACAGTCTATCTTGACCATTTGAGCTTGAAGAGAAGAATTCATTGAAAGTTGGGAAAGTGACCTGCTGGCATCTTACTCAGTAATAACTTGTAAAAGTGGTACCTTGATTTAATGAGAGGTAACATAATCAATGTGCCTGGCTCAGGAGCTGCTATCTGAGAATCTAAATCTGCGTTTTATGTCTTGCTTCTATTGATATTGTTCTTATTACACTGTAACCATTTGCATTTACTAATGGAGTTTCTCAGAAAAATGCAACTGGTAAGCATTGTCAAGATAAAGTACATGCAGTATTTGCAACTTACTGTTATTTATTTTATATCTGGAAAGCTCATCTATCTCTTTCTATTTTTCTTTAGCATCTGGTACGACTGCGGTGGGACGAATTAAACCCGATGGAGAGAAGGAACTTTGCAAATGCTTCTGTTGATTTGATGTCTCAAATTGCAAATCCTTGTGAAGAGTGGGCTCTGAAAAGTCAGATGGCGGCTCTTGTTGCGGAGGTTTTCAATATTTGGCTTGATGTTCTGCTGAAGAATTGATGATTATGCTGGTGGAGGAATATATAATTTTTTTTTTTGTTTTTTTAACAGATAGTTAGGAGAGAAGATTTGAGCCTGTGGCAGGAGCTTTTTCCGTCTCTAGTCTCTCTTTCAAATAGTGGTCCTGTACAAGTAAATATGACATTTTTTCCACTCTGAAGTTCCTGATTATATTCTTCTTTAGAATCTCCAAAGTGATTAAATTGTTCTCTTTTTCCTTGTAGGCTGAGTTAGTTTCAATGACATTAAGGTGGCTTCCTGAAGATATTACTGTTCATAATGAGGACTTAGAAGGTCTATACCTCTTCTTTTTCGAGGCCTTGTGTACTTTATTGTTGTGAGTGGATGTGACTTTTTCCTTGCTAATAAGTAGCTAAAGCTTTTAGGGAGAATGGGGAGCAAACTTGGAATGTTTTCCAGTTTATTGAAAATTATTTTACATATCCATCCTTTGGAATTTAAGAGTTTTGAGGTATCTAGTGATTATGATAGGAATTGTGCCTGTAATCTTTGGGGGGTAGAATTGGTTTATGCTTTGGTTCTGAGCTTTTTAAATACCAGTTTGAAGTATTGAACAATCAACCTTTTAATGGTTAATATTAAATTTGGTATTATTGAGATTTGGGTATCTTTCTTCCCGATATATTTTTTTACTCTTGTTCTTTTCTGCTTTCCTTTTCCTCCCATATTTGTCTTCTTTTTAATCTATTTCTCCTATTTCTTCTGCTATGGTTCTACATCAATTTTCATGTCAGAGTTCATTGTTTGACCTAGCTTCTTGGCACCATATAGAGGTGGGGTGGGTCTGCTAAGAGTCATTAGTAAAATTCTCAAACTTTAATTTTTAAAATTCCAATGCAGCTGTTTGGAATCTTTGTTTTATTTTGCTGCACTTGTTTTGTTTCCTGAGTTGGTAGATTTTCATTCTTTTATTTGGTTTATCTCTAGAAATGAAATTTTAGTGAATGATTTATGGAACTCTTATATTTTCATATTTTGAATTGTTCCACTTACCTGGTCTCGATATATTGCATTTAGGTGATCGGAGGAGATTATTATTACGTGGACTCACTCAATCTTTACCTGACATTTTGCCATTGTTTTACACTGTATGTCTTGCTTCTAGTTCTAAATCTTGATATAAGATATATGCCTTAGCCCCTGTTTGGTCGTCTGAATGTTTGGACTTCTGCATTTAGTTTTTAAGCCAAAAGCCTTGTAACTGACTATAAGCCTAGAAGCTGCAATATCCCAGATTTTGGCTTTTGGACTCAAAAGCTGAATGCATAATTACAAGAAGCGAGACAACCAAACACTCCCTAGAATGCTTCTAATCCCTTGGTTGGTTGTGGACATGATGTAGTTACTTGAGAGGCACTTTGGAGCTGCAGTGAGTGAAGCAAGCAAGCAACAACTGGATGTTGCAAAACAGCATGCAGCAACAGTAACAGCTACGTTGAATGCTATTAATGCATATGCTGAGTGGGCCCCTGTAGCTGATCTTTCAAAATATGGCATAGTTCATGGGTATATCATGGTTTGCAAATGGTCTAAATTGAAAGCTTTAATATAGAGAGTTTTCATTTCTGTTGTCTTTATTAACAGGTGTGGTTTCTTGCTTTCTTCTCCTGATTTCCGTCTTCATGCATGTGAGTTTTTCAAACTTGTCTCCCCAAGGTATAAAATGGAACTTATTTTCTTCATTTTTGTTTGTCGTTATAGCCAAATAATAAAAAGATGTTCTCCTGATAAATTTGTAATTGTAAACTTTGGTTTGCAGGAAGAGACCTGCAGATGACACTGCTGGATTTGATTCTGCTATGAGTAATATCTTTCAGATATTGATGAATGCCTGTAGAGATTTCTTGCTTGATCTAGCTCGAATGCTGGTGTTATTGATGAAAGTGAAATTGGGTTTGCGGAATACATATGTGAGAGTATGGTGTCTTTGGGTTCTTCAAACTTGCAGTGTATTGTTGAGGATAGCATGATGCTCTCCTTTTACCTTCAACAGGTAATGCATTGAATAGATGGTCTGATATACTTTGATTTGCTTGCTGGAGTTGGTGGAATGAGGAAACTAAATTGCTGTTATGGAGTTGTTAGGAACATGGCATGAGTTGGTTAGTTCATATTGTTCTGACCATCTCTTTCCATATTTATCTACCTAGCCGCATGCCATGTTGTTATTTTCATTATTTAATGTTCAAAATATTAATATAAAACTTGAAATTTTAAGTCTATTTGCCTCTTTATACTCTGAAGTTCAAATGCTTTTTGTTTGGATTCAAGATAGTGACCAAATTTTATATATACTAAATGTCATAGGAGTCAAGCAAGCTTTACAAGTTTCATTTGGACATTTGTCATTAGAGACGATACAGTGTTAGTTCTCTTCTCTCATGCATAGCTTATCTTGATCATAAATGTACATGTTGTCCATCTAGATTTATAAAGGAACAAAATCTTATTAACTCGTGTGATTAAACCTTGGGTGGGAGTTCAAGAGCCTTAGTTTCATAGTCGTTGAGTTCAAATTCCAAATTTTCCAATTGGATCACAAATCCTTCTTTTTAATTTCTAATTGGAACAAAATTGTATGACTTCGGCAAATGTGTAGAACTAAATAATGTACATTAGATACCAGGTGTGTTTAATAAAACTGAACCAGACCATTTAAGCCATTTAAACTGCAGTTTGGTTTGGTTTTAATGAACTTTTTTATACAGTTTTTTGATATTTGATGTCTAAACAAACCATATAAAGCGAAACCAAAAGTTTATATATATACAGAATTAAAAACTCTTTCTTTATTTATATAGTTTGTCGGTAGTACTTGACTGCATACTTCTTCTTTCTGTTCATTTTTATGTTTATATTTCTTCTAATAGCTAATTGATTTTCTTTCCTAAAGAGTAAACTCCATTAGTATGATTCAAACTCTATTATATTATATAAATATTTGTTGTATAAATGTAGCTATTATGGTTAGTTGATAGATAATGAATTTGTTAAATTAAATAGATTGAATTAAACTTTTGGATGTCCTTTTTTAGGGAAAATTTTGTCAAAATTTTTATAAAAATAGTGAATTCAATCAATTTATTTTTACAAATCACAAACCTTGGATTGAAACCAAACTAAACCATGAACTTTGGTTTGGTTTGGTTTCTTTTCTAAAAATCATAAACAATGAAGTATGGTTTATTTTAAATTTTACTATCAAATTGAACCAAATCAAACGACAAACACCCCTAGTAGATATGAAGGATTACATAAGTAGCAATATGGTACTTGATGCTTGATTTAGTCTGGCTGCTAATGAGACGCTTATTGTTGATGAAAGTTGAATGATTGTGTTTGTTGGAATTTGAATAAAATTACTCCTTTCAAAATTACTAGTTCCCCCTTTACAAGTTGGCAGTAAGGATCAATTTGGTTGTGGCTTTTTGTTGCTTTTTCATTTTGGAGTAAAAACAACCAAATTTTAGCAAAATTTTATTTTTCCATTGTATTTAGAACTGAGAGGAGATTGCCAAATAACCCAGGTAATAAAGCTTTAGTTGCAAAAAA